ATCGTGCCTGGCGGGCTTTCTGCCCAACAGTTGCTCGTTGGGATTTTCTATCCGTGTTAAATCGCTTGTAAACTTTGCATGTGCGATGTAGGATTCTTGTGACGTCATCCGTTGACATGTGGCATGTGTCGCCACATCACTCCCTCCCAAGACCGGAGGTCGATTCCGCTGAGACTGCTGTCGATGCTTGAGATGAGTGGCGCCAGAGCCGAGAGAGAGTGTAGAACGTCCCTAGTTCCAGTGGGTCGGAACCGTGCCGCTGAGTGCCCAGTGAGTCGGGTCAGCGGTGCAGGGTGAAACTCCAGTGAGTCGGAGAGATGCGTTCGCAGTGTCCCACGGTGAGTCGGGGAAGAGATGCTGCGAGGGTAGGTGCGTAGTGGCCGGCATCTGCGTTGACGGGAGGAGATGTCCTTCAGAACCGTGTGCAGAAGTGCTGTGCCCTAGACGCTGGTGAGGCCGTAGGGAAGAACCAGGCTGCACAACTTCGTTGCAGGCGATGGTGGTCCCTGATGAGGCCGAGGATGCTGGTTGGCTGCGACTTGACTACCGCTCAGCGGAGAAGTGATGAATGAGAGGGATGGCGATACGGATGACGGTGCTAATATGCTCCGTGAAGTGAAGGTTGTTTCCAATCACGTCGGGGTCACCACTTTAGGGAACAGAGAGTATAGTTCCCTAAGATCGGAAAAGGAGGATCCTCCGACCAGGCGAGGTGATCGTGCCTGGCGGGCTTTCTGCCCAACAGTTGCTCGTTGGGATTTTTTATCCGTGTTAAATCGCTTGTAAACTTTGCATGTGCGATGTAGGATTCTTGTGACGTCATCCGTTGACATGTGGCATGTGTCGCCACAGAGTAAATATCTAAAAGATGTCAATATAGAAGTGATCATACGTAACTTTAGTTCGAATAGTGATTGCATGTCACAATCATGATTTTATCTGCATAACACAGAAATTATGGTTTGGGGTTAAAACCACGAACATAATATTTTCCTGAGAATACATGTTGTCAAAGTGTTATCTCTAATATTTTGTGATACCTAATACTAATATAAAAATCTTGTCATATGATTTCGAACACTGTATGTTTCTATTATTCGCTACAAAGATACATTGACAAAAAAAGACAAATGTTTTAACCTAATACAAAAAGAAGAATGGGTTTTCAGTTTCACCTGTATGTGTGTGTGTGGGTGTGTATGTGTTATAATTAACCAGTAAAAAAGGAGAGTCGGGTTTTTAAAACGTAGTTTCGTAAAAAATATAGTTTTAACACAACCATTGTAAATTATTATGTTTTCGGCTTACTAACGAAGTAATTTGACGAGGAACTCGACTAGTTTCAAGCCATGCTAGAGGCTCATATTCATGAGCAGCATTTCGCGACCCGCGACGAGGCGACTGTCGCACTGCTACTGACTAGCTAAGTCATGAGCCTCTAGCATGGTTTGAAACTAGTCGAGTTCCTCGATTTACATATAGTATGTCTCACGAAAGTTACAATACCAAAAACCATTGTAATATTGTAAGCGATTTTGACCTTAACAAAAATTGTTTTCATGGTTCATTTTATGAGTTAAATTACACAAACTTAGATATGTGAAGTTATTGTTTTATAGCATAACTTCACGCCTTTATTTCCTAAAGTTCAGGCAGAGATGTTATTACGATCATAAATCTCTACGAACATGAGTAGGTGTGGAGGTCGCTATCTCTTTCCTTGAGCAAAATCTTGGTCATTGATCATGTTTTGACCTTAATATTAGAGGTAGATTAGGTACAAAGAGGTAGGTTTTATTTTTGCTTTTTGTTTTTTTTTTTAAAAAAAAGTTGCCCCACACTAGGGTTTTCTCCTGTGTCGTGGGTGCGTTTACAAACATACAAGTTCACATACAAATGACACCCAGACCTAGAACAACAATTTGTGGATCACACAAAGTGTTGTTCCGTGCGGGAATCGAACCCGCGACACATTGCACGGCAGCCGGTTGCCAAGCCGACGCACCAATCGTGCAGTTTTATGGGATAATCACCTGATGGTAAGCAATCAGCGTCGCCCATGGACACCTGAAACACCAGAGGCGTTACAAGTGCGTTACCAGCCTTTTGTGGATTAGAAATTTGAGGATTATGGGGGATTATGGGGTTTTAAATATTTAATCATTTTTTACGTGTTCTTCACGCCACATCAGCTTTGAGCGATAGATTATACCAATATTAACCATACAAAAAATAAACATTTAACTGACTGTCTCTTTGGCCGAGTGGTCGTAAGTGCGAGTGCCGGGCAAGGGGTCTCGGGTTCGATTCCCAGGTCGGGCAAAGTATTACTGGTTTTTTTTAAATCTCAGTTGTAGCACGGAGCCTGGAAATGTGCCCGGTATAAGGCAATAGGCTCACCCCCTATTACATGGGACCCATAACATAAGTAGTGAAAAGTGGGTATTACTTCTGTGTGCACCTCTGCCTACCCCTTCTGGGATAAAAGGCGTGATGTTATGTTATTGTAAACATTTAATTCTCTAACTTACCAATTATATTTTCAACACATTTCTCGAATTGACGTAAATTAAAATAAAAAGTTATAATTGCAAAGTCGATTATAACGACGCTGCGCAGTATAGCGGCACGCTTTCGTCTTTTAACTTCAAAGATAAAATTAATTATAAGGAAATTAAATTCAAATCGCGAGGTAATAAATTACTTCTGAAGCTACCCGAAAAATCAATAGCTTGATAATTACTCAATAACCAACAAAATATTTATGTGTATAGCGCCACCTATTCAATGCAATAAATAATTTGTTCACAGTTTAATGTTTCTGCTGTATTTATGGTAAATACAAAGTTTAATATTAAAAAAGTACGAAAATGTGTTTAACTACCTATGAAGTAAATGGTTATATTACCTCTATAAAAACCTATTATTTACTCTAGGAAAAAATATTAAAATTGATTAACTAAAAAATTACGGAGTATATTTGAAAGACCAGATACATTTTAACTACACTGCCTCTTTGGCCGAGTAGTCGCAAGTGTGAGTGCCGGGCAAGGGGTCTCGGGTTCGATTCCCAGGTCGGGCAAAGAATTACTGGGTTTAAAAAAAAATGTAGTAGCACGGAGTCTGGAAATGTGCCCGGTATATGGCAATAGGCTCACCCCCTATTACATGAGGCTCATAAAATAAATAGTGAAAAGTGGGTGTCACTTCGGTGTGCACCTCTGCCTACCCCTTCGGGGATAAAAGGCGTGATGTTATGTTATGTTATATTATGTGTTATTTTAACTATATATTAATCAATGTATTGCTATCACACAAAATTAACGACAAAGTTTACACCTTACAGTAAACAATTGCTGCTACTGTTACCTAAGTACATAGACACATCTGTAATATTAGATAAACCACGAGTTCGATAGTATAAGAAAACAATTTAGTTGACACCTTTTTTGTTAACACTGTATTTATAGTTATTGCACCATGAATTTTCTCGTCTTATATCTGATCTAAGAAACTCACTTATAAAGTATCATGCGGACATGTGGACACTGGTTTATATATGGGAAAAGGGTAAAAATAGGTGATTCAGATCACGTACAGCCTAAGCGTGGTAACTGGAGAGTTTAATGGGCATTTAGGTAAAAAATATGGGAACAACATTAGTTAAATGTGGCGCGATCTATTGATTGGACATTTTGTAAATTACGTGTACATTTTACATGAGGCCTGGTTTAGTGGAAAGACTTACAAAATGTAATATAGAGAAAAAAAAAACGATAGTAAAAGGCCATGATAAAATTATACACCTGATTGAATAAGAGTAACCTGTGGAGTTTCTTGCTCGTTCTTCTCCGTAGGAATCTATCTACACCTTGGAATGATCAAATAGCTTCATTTTAATTAATTTTTTGTTGACGTTCAAATGTTCCTTTCTGGTCTAATTTGGGTAACCGGCTGCCGCGCAGCGAGTGGCGGGTTCGATTCTTGCACGGAGCTTCTCTTTGTGTGATCCACAAATAGTTGTTTCGGGTCTGGGGATCATGTGTATGTGAACTTGTATGTTTGTAAACGCACCCACGACACAGGAGAAAATCCTAGTGGGGAGCAATTTTTTTTTTTAAATGAAATAAATGATTTTGACTTTTTGACTTGACTTTTTTATATCGTTTTTGTCCTTAAGCAAAATGGTTTTATCTTCATAATACAATATTTTTACAAAGTATTAAATTGTTTAAGACAAAAAATTACCGATGAACTATTGCAAACAGAAAACTTTGCAAGCGCATTCGAACTCATAGTAAAAAAGAATCAAAACATTACGCCTTATAAGCCTTGAAGAGCATGAAAATAATTTGTACTTACTTTATGTATTTTGCGACGATAAAAGTACCTTTTTTTTGATGACGGGGGGAAACCTTCAATATGCGCCTAGCCTTTTTGAGGATAAAAGACTAAGGAGTGTGGGATTTTTACCTCACTGAAACCAACGCAGTGGCCACCCTCAACACCTGAATGGAGGCACCGGGTCCTAAATACCTACGTCACGTACTTAGATCAGATTACAAGTTACAGAAAACATAATACAGAAACAAACTGCATCGAATATTTCTCAATATGATACTAGATGCATACGATATGAACTTTGAGAAAACAAAGGTCATATCCAATGCATAATGTCGCGTCGTCGTGCCAACACTGTCTTGTGTCGAACGAAAACAGAACAAAGTTATGGAAAGGAATTTATAAAGTTTCTCAAAAGAATCTCTGTATATGTATGTATATATGCAATATTTACTTAGAACGAGGACACACAACCAAAACATAGTTTTTTTTTAAATAAAATAACAAAAATATAAGTAATATAGTAAAATGATTAATTAGTTATGAAAAAACCAGGAATTCATCATTTGTTTTAAATTAAAAAAGGTGTGAATATTTTAAGAATAATTTATTGATTTTTCATTGTCTTACACGCGATTGCTAATCTCAGTCATGAACGCCTATAGTACGATTCTGCCCTCACAGTCGGTCATATGGGGCTTGACGCATACTTGAAGCTCAGGGTCATACATAAGATCATTGGCGCAGGTGAGTTCAAATATGATTTTACCATCTTGGCACGTGTAGAACCGGTTGCAGATTTCATGGGGTATTAAAGCAAAGCCTTCATCTGGACAAAGTGAAGCAGAATTTGCGAAGACTAGCGCTACGCAGAGCATGAGGAACAGCAGGACTGAAACAAAAAAAAAAGATGTTATAGAGTATTTCAACATCAATGTCAACAGCCAGTGAGAGTGTACTGCTGGACAGCAGAGGTAGGCCAACCTCTTATATAATTATTCTTATATGAAGGATGAAGGTAGTAGGCCCACGGTAGTCTATTAGTTAGCCTGCTAGACTACTAGGCTAGTCATAGTTTGACATTAATTTCGCGCTTATAGGAAATGAAATTGAGATTGTGGTCTAAAAGGTTGAGGTTTATCAGTGACTATTGCAGCTCGGTCTCTGCTCAATGTCTTAATCGGTTCTTTCGATAACCGCGAAAAGAAATGAGCTGGAGACAGATGTATTCTCTGCTGTATACAAAATTTTAAAACATTAGACACGTATTTTTGTTCTTACAAAATTAGGTAAATACTTTCGACGATATATTGATTTGAAATATCGTGTGAGGATAATACCCTTCAACGGCAAAGTCACACAACATAATTAACTATAATAATAATGAAATCGCAATTAGGAACCTTAGACTCGCCACGACTTTGTTATATTTCATTACTTTTTAGAGATAAACTAGCAGCTTCGAGTCTTGGCTAGTTTTTTTACAGAATATTTTTGGTGGGATTTTTATTTTCATTCACTGTCTACTACCCTATTAAAGATTAAGATAAAGGTATATTTATTTAGTAAAATATGATAACTACAATGAAAATTAAAAGGTAAATGCTTTACCTTCATGAAATTAAACACCTACTAATTAAAAAAGTATTACAATTGTTTTTATTTTTAAGTAGTGTCGTACCTTTCATGTTGAATGGTTGGTTATTGAAGAACTCTCCACAAGATGCAGGCGGAAACCAACTGCCTCAATTTATAGCCCACTAAGTGTTTTGTACCTATGTATGATAAAATCTGTTCGATAATAATTAATTTGTGATAATTTTAATTTGGAAAATCACGAATTAGTAGCGATAAAGCGAAAAGATGAAATTAAATATTCACTGTTGATAATTTACTAACTCTACTCCTTGGTTTTGCTCGCTAAGCAAAATATAACAAAAATTGTATGCCTGTTGTGAGGACACTTTGACAAATGACAGATGACAGATGTCGCACTTATAGGATTAACGATACATATCAATGAATGACGTCACAAGGCATTGCACATCTGAAGTCAATATGCGAATAAACATGGATAGAAAATCTCAACGAACAACTGTTGGGCAGAAAGCTCGCTAGCCATGATCACCTCGCCTGGTCGGATGATCCTCCTTTTCTTAGGCGACTTTACTCTATTCCAAACTATTATTTTATATAGGATTATAAAATTTTAGGCTTTAGACAAACAGATTACTACTGGCAACCCGTCTTCTATTTTGTTTAAATGCTGATTGTTGGTATGAATGGAAAAATAATCTTTTCTTGGAGCCCAGTTTCAATGATCTTGAACTTTGACAGACAGATAGCTACAAGGTCAACGTGCAGTGGTAAAGTACATTTTAATTGCATGTTCGTTGCACATGGATACAGTGCAATGATACTGACAAACATTCAAATTCTATAACCATAGTTTAAGCCATATTATTGGTCTACACCTCAGAATTTGAAATAGTCATCATGCCTTTAGCAAGCGTGGTGATCAATGCTTATTTTCTTAGCAGTAGGTATTTATACGATGTTGATGTGATTTGAACTGGCGCTTCAGAAAGAGAAGCATCGGCTATTGTGCATGGTCTGAATAGTAAGTTGTTTTTCGCTCGAGGTGATGAAGGTGTGGTGTTTTTAGTGACCTCACTCTCTCAATGATCCCACATTCTCTAAACTATATTCCGAAGTTGATATCTTTTGAACGTTCCATTGAGTATAAATGGGCGGGGTACAGAATTAACGGTAGTATCAGTTATCAGTCAAACTATATTACTATTGTCATTGGTATTTTTTTTGTGTCGTAGAACATTTAGGGTCGTTTTTGCCAACGCCAGATAAATTTTATCTGGGCAATAACTTTCGATATTTGACAATACTTCTATACTAAAAACTGTCAGAAGTTAATTTTATTCTACAGTTAAGAATTAACTAACGATTGCAAAATCGATCCCAATTCAAAGTTTCAAAGTTATTCCTCAGTTAAAAAGTATCTGTCGTTGGAAAATCTGCCCCTAGTTGCCTTAAAGCATAACATCATAACATCACACCTTTTATTCCCGAAGGGGTAAGCAGAGGTGCACAATAAGCCACTGTACAATGTAACACCCATTTTTCACTATTAATGTTATGAGTCCCATGTAATAGGGGGTGAGCCTATTGCCATATACCGGGCACAATTCCAGACTGCGTGCTACTACTAAGAATATTTTAAAAACCCAGTAATACTTTGCCCGACCCAGGAATCAAACCCGAGACCCCTTGCCCGGCAGCCGCACTTGCGGCCACTCGGCACCCAAGAGGCAATCAGTGCTTAAAAGATTTCATTCTATTGATAGTTAACGTCACAGACGCGTGATATTTTATAATCTCATGTGTTTTCCCATTCTCCACACAAACAATATATAATAGAACAGATTACAAATATTACCCCCCATGATAAGAAACTAATCCTTACGTGATTGATTGTAAAACAGTTCCTGATTAAATGACTAATTTGTGAATGACTGTCATAATATTACTATTATCACATCCGTTATATCTGATAACAATTTATTATAATAGATTTCTAGCATTGTCGAGTATTGTCATGGTAATTGATAGGTTTTATCACTGTTTCTACTCGGATTTATTTACTCAAAGCGATCTGATAATTGGAAATCTTATTTTACGGCATTTGTGTGTAATACATAAGAGAGTAAACACGGTAAGAATTCGATGTGTATATATATATATATCGGTATATATTTTTTTGGTATTAGATGGGACTGAAGTTTGACCACTGTCTCGCCTGGTGGTAAGCGATGGTGTGACCTACGATGGAATACGTCAACCCATAAACAACCTATTTTCTATTTTTAGTTCTTTTATAACATCGTATATATTTGTCTTTTTTAACAAACTATAAAGTTAAGTAAAAAATACACAACTATTCTTTCATAAACCTCTTTTGACGACGTTATTCAATGTTATGTATAGTATAACACAAGTTTTAGAATCCGTGGGAACAGTCCCGACATTATGAACATTTATTGGTGGATTGGTTTATAATAAGTGCTTGATTATAATCCAAGAAATAACTTCTGAACTTTCAGCTTTGGATTACTCACTTTTTTCCGGTGTGTAAGAGTTTTATGACGTAAATAGGTTATCATTTTCATTTTTACGAATATAGAAACAACATTTTTTTCAATATTTCATTTAACCTGGATTTATTAAAACATGATTTCACTAACCATACACTTTTTAAAACAGCCTAGTGTCTAGTCTTAGGCTACACATTTCTTAGTTTCTTAGGTGAAAATATTTTTAAAATTTTCGCATTTGAATCTTTACACCATTAACCTTCCGTTTATTAATGTTTATTTTGTCTTTAACTAGGTTTTATGTTACAAAATATTGAGAAAGCATATTATTTTACATTGTTTTTTGTAAGAAAAATAACCAACAAAGTTGTGTATGAAGAATTTAAAGAGAAACGCTAGTACATTTGGCTACAGTACAAACTCTATCGCCATTCTGACAGACGTAAGTTATTGGAACAATCCAGATGTATGAAATATTGAAAACTATTTCCAATTCGTTTTATTTAAGCTCTTCTTGTTTTAGGTGAATTGTTTTAGTAAACAATGTAGGACTATTTTTCAATACAATTTTTACTGCTACAGTATTATATGGAATTTTTTATTGTACATTATCAGATTTTTTATGCATATACATTTTTTTTAATTTTAAAATTCCAATAATTTGTAAATCTATTTATTTATAGAGAGACAATTGGTGAAGTAATTTTTGGTTTACTTCGGTAAGTAGCAGGCATAACATTATTATATGATTCTCTTTTTATAAAACTTTAAAGTGTGTTAAAAAACCTCAATTTCGTTTGTGTACTTATTGCAACTAAAATTTATTTATTTATTCCTATTAAATAGTATAAAATGATTGACCTATATTTCCTACATACAAACCAAAGATTTATACATCGTTTATTGTAAATATCACAGACATTTGACCTTTTTGCACAACACACAGGCAGTACACAGGTAAACACATATATAAATAAATTGGAGGTACATAGGTACTACATATTCCCGTAGAAATCTCTGCCTACAGTCCTTCGACAGGAAAAACAGTGAAAACTAAGACAACTAACTAAGACATTACCATCACGCCTTTTATCCCCAAAGGGATAGGCAGAGGTTCACATTACGGCACTTAATGCCACTGTTAAATGTAACACCCACTTTCCACTATTTAGTCCCATGTAATAGGGGGTGAACCTATTGCCATATACCGGGCACAATTCCAGACTCCGTGCTACTACGGAGTATTTTTTTAAGATCCAGTAATACTTTGCCCGACTAGGGAATCGAACCCGAGACCCCTTGCCTAACAGTCACACTTGCGACCACTCGGCCAATGAGACAGTCTAAGACTTAGTTATAATTATTTCTCGCATAACAAACCGAATATAGAATCCAAAACAAAATAGGCATCATCCAATGTTTTCTAAGATGTTCATAGTTACGTTACATGTCTCAACCTCTTACGTTACCCCTGTCTCAGAATAGCGTTAGTACCACCAGTTGTCATGTAACTATGACTGTACGTGTTGTGGTCTAAAGCTTGACAGATGTTTGACAATGTATCATGTGGACTTGGCAGACCACAGTACAGTTACTCTGTGTATTGAGACTTCTAGTTATGTCTAGGTCTGAAGCTAGTACTATGTGTGTTGAGATTAACACTGAGCTGATTGTGTTGTTGGTTGAGTGGTTTTGGTTTCAGTGGTTAGATTGGGTAAAGTGTGATTTGTGTTTTCAAAGTCATTGAAATTTTGTTGGATTTCGGATTGAGCCCTGATTTGTTCGATAATGAACGAGAAGTAAGTTCACTGCAGGTTTTTTTATGAAATAGGAGACAAACGAGCAGATAAATCACCTGATGGTAAGCAATCAGCATCGCCGATGAACACCCTTAACACCAATAGGGCTGATGTCGATATGGAGCCGCGGAGAACTTAACTAAACTTAACGGGTTACCGGGGCTCTGGCTCGAAGTGCAGGAGTAGGAACGGGGTGGTTTTTAGTCAGTAAGACTCTGACACTCCCTCTCGCCTCACCCAGGTGGAAGATGCCATTCCATGATACCATACCCCCCTTAAAAAAATAAATAAATCCATTACGACAGCAATCGAACATCGTGGACAAATTAAAAAAAAAACAATATAAGTTAAATAAAAATAAAAGTATCTTTAAAAAGAATACTCGAGTAGGGTCTTTGAGCCCCTCCAATAACGATCTTTAAGTTTTTGTCTCGAATTCATATTCGTTTTCTGATGTCATTTTATTTGAATAGTGTGAGCCACGCGTATTGAATAACTGATAGGCTAATTTAATTTTACTGTTAGACATTTCAGTGATAGAGGTCGGCTTACTTTTTTAGATATTATTAAAAGAAACTGCAATGCGTGTGAGGTTTATAAATTCGTTCGGAATGTGGTAAGAGTTTTATGTAGATACTTTTTCATATCCATTGCCATTATTACGGATTTCAATCTCAAATTAAATTCGTGACCTGAGTAATGGCAAAAAATAATTCTTAAATCACATCTGTTTACATAAAACTCTTCCATTCCTGAGTGAGTGACTGACTGGCAACGTAC